ATGGCTATTGAGTGCAATCTGAAAAAGACAAATCTGACAAAACCAAGACTGTATGGTCCAGAACTTGAAGATTTCCCAGTCTACCACATCTTCTTCACACCGCCAGCAGTCACCTATCTGAACCACAAGAACGAAAAACGTTTGATGGTAGTTAGTGAAATTGAAAAGTACTGTGACGGAACACTGAAGATAATCAAAGAACAGATTCTAAAGATGAAGGCAGAGCTAGAGGAAAATCTTCAAGATGCATCGTCTTATGTTCAAAAGGAACACTCTACTGTAGAGACAATCTTAAAGGCCATTGACGATCGCCTCGAAAAGAGAAATGTACTGAGGCAATATGAGCATGCACTTGGTATGAGGAAGCACTACTTCAAGTCTCAGAAGCAATAAGAGAATGGCACTTGATCACAAAGGGGGAGATTGTTGGAGATATTTAATTGTGAATCAAGTTGGTCATAGATTAGCTTTATATTTAATCCTTGTATTTAATTAGTGCATGAATTAGATAGAAATCGGGCCAAGTGTTAGGCCCATATAAACAGGCTAAAAGCCTGGTACGCCTAACCTAAACCTCGCCTATAAAAAGGGAGTCGAGGTTTAGGAATAGGTTGAACGTCGTACTTATTATTCATAGCCTTACGCGCATATCATTCTGTTGTACGAGTTCACGGTTTATCAAAGAAGGTTTTACGGTGATTCATTCTGTGTTCATCTTTACGTTTAATCTTCCTTGTTAGATCGATTATTCATTGTTGTTACAGAAACAGGGACTAACATAACTTTATGTTAGAAACCAAATTTATTTCGAATGAACTAATATATGTGAAATATAGTCCTGGAGAATATGCTGGCATTTTTTCACAAATATATTTAGTGCCAGATTTAGTTGTCGTAAGACAAAGATATTCCTTTTGATTATCATTCATAGTTTCTATGTGATAACTATTTTGATGCATATCTTTAAAACTTAATAAATTTCTCCGCGATTTGCTGGAGTGTAAAGCGTCATTTATCATTCATATGTTTTCCCATAGCCTTCAATGAGTTTTGCAACACCTGATATTGTATTGACTTTAGCATCGACTAAAGTCATTTGAGAAAAATATATTTTATTTCTCAAAATGGTGTGCGTTATGACGATGTCTATCAGACATAATTCTTTGTCGTTTGTAATTTCCATATCTTCAAAATATAAATATAAGTTGAAATGTAAATATCATAACTGATTTTAATTTAAAAGTAGAAGTAGACATAGATAATGTTTGATTATTATCAAAACAACTTACTTACCTCTCTCTGTGTTCAGATAAATTTACAAATACAGACGTGCGGATTCATGCATGTATGTACTTTATATTATTTACATTTGTATGAACATTTAAAGATACAAACATAAACATATGCATGGACTAATTAGTAATGTGTAATATCGATCACTTTACACATATGTAGCCACTTTCCACTCATATAATAGAAATTGTTATTTTAATTTCATTCATGTTTATTGATAGACTATTCGGCTATTATAGATGTTATGTGATTCTTATGATCAATGCAACATTTATTTTATTTATTTTATTAATATTTGTAAGCTTAAATATCCAGTCAAAACAATTAGATCATATGAACTTTACCATCCATGACTTCTAGTCAAGCAGAACTTCAATTTATTTTGTTTGTTTATTAATATATACTTGGTCACGTTGTTGACTTGTTGACTCAACAAACTATCACTGTACCCGTTCTTTAATTTAGCTTTACTTTTATTATTATACACAAACATGTAATATTATTATACACGAACATATATTGATACACAACTTGCTTACCTCTCTATGTGTTCAGATTACGTAACTCAACTGGTAGCAAGGAAGTGCCACAAGGGTTAGGTCCCGAGTTCGAATCCCGGCAACTGCGATGAGAGGTTACTGTGCTAAAAATACATAGGGCCTCTGCAAGTACTGGGGACAGAACCCCACTCTCTATCTGTTAGATTGAGATTATAGACCAATTTACATCCTCCCAACGTACCGTCTGGTCGGGGTTGGGGACCCCTCAAGGATGGGGTGTCATCCTTTTTTATGTAATACCGAGACCACTGATTAAATGTTCTTGTCATTTTATTCATATAGAGGCAAAAGAGATAGGTGCAGGAGTGACGTGAGTCCATATATTTTGCTTATACCTATTCTTAACGTGTACTCCATATTTAAATGTACTCGAATTCATATAATTAAATAATATAAATAATATCCAGCTGGCCAGTAGCTAAGGAGACAAAGTGTGGAGGAGTTTGAATTATTCTCTTATCAATCCATACATCTTTATTGAACATTTTTTGTATATAGTACGTAGTATTAACAATTAAGTAGTATAACACTAAACGGAATGTATATAGTAAAGTTATGTAAAAGCTTATCAAGAAATTGAATTACTTTATTTAGAGTTCATGTTATATATATTCAGTATTAATGAATACTACTCTGTAAACTTTGTGCTTTAGAAAACTTAAGCAAAGAAAATAAGATGTCCTAAACCACAGATCATAATTCTGGTCTTTTATTTTTATCTCCTTGCATGAATCCACTTCAAGTTCTTATTTGAATTTACTTTTCTTGTAAATGGTTTATAACCTATTTTATCTTTTCTACTACTTCAGCTTTCATCTTTATTGCTCCGTATTATTTCCGAACTACTCCTTATTATGTACTCCCTCCGTCCCTTATAACTTTACCAACTTTCTTTTTTTGAATGTCTCATTAACTTTGCCACTTTCCCTTTTAAGTAAAGAAGTTGTGGTTTCAGTTAATTCTCTCTCCTCTACACAAATCTCAACCACACAATTTTTATTTTATTAATCTCTGTGCCAGTCAAACTTGGCAAAGTTATTAGAGACGAGGGAGTAATAATGTAGTACTACGTAAACGTACTAATTAATACGAAGTACATAGTAGTAGTAGAGAGTATGGCTATGTTTGGAAGGAAGCCTCTACCTTCTAACTTTTGTACTGTTCAAAAAGTCTTTAAAATCTTCTAGTTATATGTTTGACATGACAATTTTTAAGAGCTTTTCAAAAATTAAAAGATCTTTTTTGAGATGCTACAGGATGTAGCATCTGAAAAAAGCTCATGACTTTTAGTATCAATTATTCCTAATAGCTTGTATACCAAACTGAACTAAATCTAACAGTCATCTTTTTACCAAACAGCTACCACCTTTTCTCTTTAAAATATTTTCAGTCACTAAAAGCTTACAGTTATTAAAAAGATCACAAAAGTATCTTTTCAGCTAGTTGTGCCAAACATACCCATAATGAATTTCTTTTAGTTTAAAGTTAAAGTAAACGATCGTCTCTTGGACAGGTCATACTCCCTCTGTCCCTAAAAGGATCGCCGAGTTTGACTGACACATAGAATAATAAAGTAAAAACTGTGTGATAGAGATTTGTGCAGAGGAGAGAAAAATAACAGGAACCACAAATTGATTGACTAATAGAGAAAGTGGCAAAGTTTTTGGGACAACCAAGAAAAGAAAGTTGCAAAGTTAGAAGGGACGGAGAGAGTATTTGTTTTCTTATGGTCCGTGAATAATACTTCGTAAAACATATAGTGCAGCAGGCACTAACTAATAAAGTCTGTATATTTCTAATAAAACATATACTGATCGGTGCATGCGATTATGCGAATTGAGTTTACAGACCGGTGAATATCTATCTCTAAGATAAATTGGAACTCATACTAGACAGCCTACTATTTTATCATTTCATTTCTTCCTGGACTGGCCGACTCTTTCCTTTTGATTAATAATGTACTCCCTTAAGTCAATACTTATCACAGAAATTTCAATTTTACTTCTCTACCTTTCATGCTATCACGTACTCCTTATAAATAATATCAAACTATTCTGTTTATATTTCTCACTTTCAACTTCGGTATTACTGAGTATTCTATGGTGGAGTATTATGACTTATCTTTCGTAAGTCAATTTCCTCTTGTCCCGTTAGATCTTTATCAAAATTGATTGGAGAAATCAAATTGTTTAGAGGTATGTTATCTATATTTCCTTTCCATGTATGATAGAAAATTTATTTAAAACATAGAATAATTTTCAGGTTTGAATACTAAAACAAGATAATAAATATTGATGCTAATACCTGCAGGAGATGATGATTTATGAAATGAAGAAGATGCAAAATAGATTTAAAAGATAGCAAAAATATTATTAATAACCTCTGAATTACTTCTTAATCTGAATGAATTTACAAAGGATTGAATGCCCTAAATATACTAGTCAGGCTAAATGATTCTACATAATTTGTTGGCAACATTAAACCTAGACATCTGTCTTATTACAAGGATTGGAATTGGATTAGTGTCTGATTACGAGGATGGACATTCACACATGTCATTTTGATGAATTTACAACACATAATTAGTTATTGACTAGTTCCACATTATTTTTAATTTTTAACCTCCTATTTAGACCTTTTGAGTTCTCATTTTATTATTTTTTAATATAAATATCCTAACTATCGTATATAAAATTCAATACTGTACATCACACGGGTACTACACTAGTACACTAGTAAAAGACAAACAAACTCAGTCCTAATTTCAACACCAGAAATAGGACTTGGGTTTGCACCTAGGGTTGAGCACGGATATGGGATTTCCCATTCCGTCCCGAGAAATGTATCGAACTGTTTCAAAACCATATTGAACCGAACCGTCCTGTATCGTCCTAAAAAATTGGTTATACAAAATAATATATATTCCATATCACCCAAAATATGGGGTGCAAACTCAAATTCTCCCTTTTAGAAAACCTCCAGACCGATTCCTTATAATTTCAGACGCTCTCTCACCCAAGGACCATAAACCTCCCCTCCCCCTGAAAAGCACCACATCCGAATACGCCCTAAAGCCTGTCCGACCTTGGACTAGATCTTGCACATAGACTTGGACACACAAAAAAACAGTACTGGTAAAAAATTAGCTGCGGTAGTAAATACTCGGTAGTGCAAAAACAAAGGTAACATATAAAGTAGATAATGCTTTAGTTTAAAAAGAAAGGTAGCATATAATCTCGATACAGATGATGCAAAAGACCTCAAAATCCTATTCCTTCCTGCTATAAAGTAGATAATGCTTTAGTTTAATCCCATTCCACATGGCGAACTCATTCCCTGTGGGAGAAAAAACGAGCCACCATAAACGTGAGATAACCATGTAAAAGAATTACTAAATGTTTGATTTAAAGGGACCACATATTACCAGAAAGTTGAAATGCAAAAAAGTTGATCATACAAAAAACTACAACAAAAAGTTAAAACTACTACAAAATCATCACTATGTTTGTTTAATTTGAAAACAACCAATAAAGAGTATAAGAAACATACCAATTGATAATGGACCCAAAAAGGAAGTGCTGCATGATAGGAACCTTCTGCAAGACTTCAATCTTATACATTTTAAGCAACCCACTATTAACTTTATTCCAACTCGGCACACCGCTGATGTCATCCAACATTGGAGAATGTTCTGCAAACAACCCCTTCTTCACTTTTTTTATAAAAGAAATGCATGAGAGATACAGGTACTCATTTGAAAAGTTCTCCAGAATATCTTGATTGTGAATCGACTTTGGCTTCATGTACTTGTGATCAATTAATTGTGAGGACCCAAAGATAAATGGCAAGAAGTGATAGTCATCCAGACCCCATACGCCATGGGATCCAGCAGGTTCAAGATTATAGGTCATTTGCAATTTCCTCATAAGCTCCAAGTACTTTACAAAAACCCTAGCAACCAGAGCTTGATAATCATATTCTTTCACAACACCTAATCTTGCTAAACAATACAGCCAAGCTGCAAAATTTGTTTCATGTCCCGTTCCTGTGAACAAAGAGCAAGTTACACTTCATATCCTGTCGCGTTCATCACTTTAATTGTGATCCATTATTTATTCCAATCTATGTTGCACAGAAACGTAAAAAAGACACTCTTTCTCGAGAGAGTTATTCGTGCTACATAGATTCTAGTCAAAAATACGAACACCACCCAAAACTAATTTAATGACATTTGAAGTGGATATGAAGAAAAGGAATCAGAACAACACCTAAAAGTCTAAAACTAATTTAATGCAATCGCAATTTATAGCACTAAGTCACTAAATAGCACCAAAGCTAAACCTCATAAAGATATAAACATTGCCCCGCCTTTTTCTTTATTGATGGTATTAATTTTCTAATTGTTTCCTTTAGCAAAAGCAAGATAATGTCTATGACAACCCTAATAGCAGCGGCAACAACAAGTTAATTATACAAAAAAAAATACTTGCAGATAGTTGTAAGCACGGTAAATTTCCACACCATAATCTATCCGGCTAGCGTTGCCGAAACTATCAGCGAGGTAAGGAACAAGCTCGACAGTGGCCGAATGGAGCTCCTGGGGGAGGAATTGAATCATTAATGATTTAGCGTCCAAACATATACGCTCGTGCCAGGTTCGATAAGCTATATTCCCGTACCGGGAAGACTGAGGCGCAGGAGGGATCTCATCGACATAAGAAATCAAGGTTTGGATGATCGAAAGAAGAGCGGATACCTCGTTGGACACGGGGCATGGATCTGATAGCTTGTGGGAGCGAATAGATTCCGAGAGGGCCACTACGAAGCCTAAGAAGTTCCTACAAGTCTCGGAGGAGTGGAAATGATCGATATCGATCTGAGACTGGATTCTTTTCGTAGGAGTTTGAAATTCGTAGGGAGGGGAAAGGGGAACCACCTTTTGGGATAGCGGGACTGGGGTAAGAATGATGGTTTCCTTAGTGTTGGCAGGGAGGAGGTTAACAGCGGGAGCACGAATGGGGATGTAGGTAGGGTTATCCGATGGAGGTGGACATGGGTAAGAGGTGGGGCCACCGCAGTTGATGCAGGTACTCGCGCTGCCGTGTTGGTGATGGTGGGGTGTAGGCGACTGTGGCAATGGCGGATCTAGTTGATGCGGAGAACTGCTGTGGTTGGGCTTCATTTCGGCTGTGTGAATTGTGATGGAAGCTTTCTTTTGCAGAGACCGAGAAGCTTGTAAAAACCCAAGGTGTAGAACTCGAATCACTTAAAATTAAAATGGGGTGACCGCAAGAATATTAAGGAGTATTTGTTATTCCGGACATTATCACTTCAACCATGGTACTATTAAAAAAGGTAGATTATACCATACCCATAAGGTATCATACATTTGTCCACACGGACCAATGAGACTTTTGCAGTTGAATTATTTAAATCTAAATTAAAAATGATATAATGATGTGGACCACTCAAGTGAATGATAGACACGGTATCCCATTTTTTAAATGGGTACCGAAGTTGTCACCCTATTAAAAATATATACGCACATCCTTTAGGGAGAGTTTAGCAAAATTATAGATTTAGTTGAGTAAATTTATTCACTTGTATATTTTGTTTGGTAACCAAAAACTTTGTTCGTATTAAGAATCTTTCCACAAGAAAGACCACTTTGTGGTGAAAAATTTAACGACATCTTTTCTATGTGCTTTTGCGAGTATGCCATGAAATAATTCTTAAAATAGACATATTCATTAGTTACACAAGTACATCGACATAAGATTGAATTTATAGAACTAACAACAATACAATTGAAATATACGAATTTTAAACAACAATTCTATATTACATTTAAAAGTTCAAAAAAATATCTGAGATTGTAGAAATCTTAGTGAAATATACATCTCTCAATTTTTAATCAATTTTATTTTCCATTTCCTTTCCCATTTCCCTCTCTGCCATAGCTCTCAACCATGTGAGGGTCTCCTCACCATCAGTACCCTGTCTGCTATCTCTATCACAGGTAACCGTGATCCGCTTTCTCTATTTTTTTTAATAATAATCCAGGTGTCGGGGTTTACGCTCCCATAATCCTGGAGTCTATGAACTACCCTCCAAAGCCCCTAGACAGTTAAATCCGGATCTGATCACAGTCAGCCTCGTCAGTACTGGCTCCAAAGGACGAATCCAGCAGGACTTACATCACCTTTCAGGCTGCTTCTCCCACCACACGAACCCGCTACCTTTATTACCATCCTCTCCCTTCTCAGCCGCTGAGCAACTCCATGAAGGTAGGAAGAACCATTGGGAGCAAGACCTCTCTCATCTCCCCTTGGTGGGAATTGAACTCAAGACCTCCCACAAAGGAGAGACTTGGGGGTGAATGGTCATCCATTGGACTACACCCACCAAACTGTGATCCGCTTTCTCACACACACAACCAGACTACATAGCTCTCCCTACGGTCTTCTTTGTCTACATCCAACCTGCTCTCATCCCCAATCTCCAAAAACTCAAAATTAAGCTAGGGTTTGCGGAGACGTACGTCTTTTTCCGAAGCTGCCAGACATCCGTGAGAATCAAGCTTTTCTGGTGCCCGGCGTCCACGAGATTCAAGCTTCTACAGTAATACGGTAACATCGCTTCACCCCTTCACCCCCTCTCCATTTTCCGACTTTTTTCACGGATCCCGCCCTTTTATACAAGAGTAGTACCAACTACTCCCGTCTAAGTCAATTTTACTTCTAATTGTTGCCATAGATTCATTTCCAGTTTTGGTTCAATTAGTCAAAGCTTCCGAAATGCATCCATGTGCATCCATGGCTTCTATATTAATCCAAGTTCGCTTTCTATTTTCGACGAATATTTTCTTCAATCTCCCAACCATATAACCTGATTCTATGGTATAAGTATTCTTTATATTTTGTATATGCAATTTATAAAATACTTAGCTGAAGATAAAAAGTTCTTAACTTTTGTGTGTAATAAGGTATATCCTCCCATTCATTTGAGGTAAGCTTCATTCACTCCCAGCTTCTCTAAACAATTCATAAGGACAAAAATGAAGGAACAAACATGTGTATATTAAAGGCGATGATTTCACTGAACTCTGTGTCATATTAAACATGTGTATTTTTTTACTTTAGTATAAATTTGATGGATAAATGCAAGGTTCCTTCTTTCTTTACTATATAGATTTGAAATTTGAATTCATATACATGTCTCTTTCTTTATTAAATCAAGAATTAAGTTAAGGTTTGTCTAAAGTATAGGAACACTCCTACGGTACGCCGCTTGGTTGAATGCCTAAATGTGATGTTGATATCAATCTTTTCTATGCCAACAAAATTGATTAAGCTCTTATGCAGCTTATGTGATTAAGGTGTGTTCCATTCAATTAATTTAGTGTTTAGATTTAAAGTTAGCATACTAAATAGTTTTAAATTATTTTGATTGATGATGTATTTCTATCTTCTTTTGTTTATTTGCAGAAAATATATCTACAATGCTAAAAAAATTATAGGGTAACTTTTTTGAGTTGTTAAAGGATATGAAAGCATTGCTAATTTTGGAGTAATACATGTTAGATAGCGATTTCTGGTACTTTTTACCATCAAAGTGTATGAATGCATTACTTATATAGAGGTAACTTCTTGTCATTATTACTTGCCCTTATGGCAGCTTACAGGGAGGAACTTATCTACATTGTTCGCTCTAATGTCATGAGTGTAATTCATCAACTTTTTGTGTGTGTAATTCTTCAACTTTTTATTACCTTATTTTTAATAGTTTGAGGGCAATATTCAACATCTTTCCTCTTGATCATACATATAAGTTATAATGTTGCAAGAATCACGGCTGATGCTGCTCCTGAGTTACTAAGTGACATCAAGTTGTTTTTCATTAACCTGTTCCAGTACTTCGCAAAGTATGTTCCTTAACTCATATATAACTTTGCGCCTGAAGAGATAAATGGCCCACAACTTATAGTAAATAAAATTATAAATATCCTAATATGTGTTTAAAAAAATAAAACCTTCAACTGCATGAATATCTTAATATGTGTTTATCATGCTTGTATTGGGATTTGGATTTTTGAAATTTAGTACCATACATTATAGCATCTTGGTATGCTTTGTCTTTCAAGAATGTATGACATGGAAGACGATGTTGCAAGGGTGTATGATCATGCTGCTCTCACGTATTGGGGTCCTACACACTAACTTTTTACTATGATATTCGATTTATTTCAACATTCTTTGTCCTTTTTTAAAATACCTATTTTTTCTCTACATTCTACCTTGATACTTTTTTATTGCAACTAGAAAACTACCACTAAGAGCTTGAAGAAATGAAGAGCATGACTAACAAGAAATATGTTGCCCATCTGAGAAGGTAAGCATGTGCAAAGATAATAATGTTGTGATTTTCCATCCCTTTTTCACTAATTTGGCTCCCATTGTTCCAAAAATTTACTTGAAAAAATTAATGACTAACAGTTTTATGCTCATTTTACAGACATCATCAACATGGAAAGCTCGAATAGGTAGAGCTGCAAGGAATAAGGACCTCTATTTGGGGACATTCAGTGAGTGTTCTTCTAACAAGTGATTAGTGTATGTTATTAAAACAACATTCATTTCAACTTGTATTTTCTTTTAAATTCTACTGATATCAGCTTTGCTTTCGCTTCATTTTTTCTTTAATTCTCAAAAATTGAAAGAGCATCAAATGGTTATGTATAACTTTATTTCCTTTTTTGACCTCAAGCTCACTTTAGTCTTTTATTTGGAAGTCCTGGCATATGATTTAACCTGTATACGCAGACATACTTAAAATATGACTATAGATAGTTCTGCTCATTCACCTCACTATAATTCTTATGGCTATAGATGTTACTATAATGGGCATCGGTCCAGGTGTTGCAATTCCGGCTGCAATCAAATTTGCTGTCCTTCAACTTGATGATATTGATCTTTTAGAGATCAACTAAGTGACTTAAATATATGTTATTGTTTTCCCATTTCATTCATAGTGATTGCTACTTTTCAATTTAAAGAGATTGTCATATTCCTCTTTTACAGGCATTTTCATCGTAGTATGTGTACTGCCAAATGAAGTTAGGACTTAATCCAGAGAAGATCAATGTAAACAGAGGTGTCTAGAGTATTGGTTATCCTTTGGGTGCAACAAGTATATAAAGGTTTCGGGTAAACAAAAAGAGTAGATAGTTTTGTTATTGTGATGTATAGCAGCCCGATTTGATGCATCATTTTTTCGTATTTAGAATATTGTGATATGAAAATTGTTTTCATTTAAAATGGTAATTTGAATGATGATAATAATGTTGTTTACTATGTTCCATTTTTATCATCATCTATGCAGGATCACTAAAGATGACCGTTGGTTACTTGGTTAATCTTTCAATGCTACTACTTGACTCTTTAATTGGCAATTTGCATCGTATTAGATAGAGCTCAATGTGTTGTAAAGTTTCTGCATGAGATGAAGCGTAATGGCAAAGATTGTTGCTATGGTGTAGTTTCCATGTGCATAGGCACATTATATTCCTCCATAACTCAAAGACATTTTTATATTAAAAAGTTCCTAAACTTTATGACCGAGAGAAGAATGTGAAAAGAAAAAAGTTCCTGATTCGATGTGTCGTAACTTTGCTGCGTGAGATGAAGCGCATCAACAAAGACTGCCCCTATTGTGTAGTTTATGTGACTTTGTTCTTTAGTTTCTTTTGTTAATTTCCTCTTTGTAAGGCTTGTACGTGTTTGTCTGATATTTGAGAGGAGGCCTATGTTTTATTTTTGCAGTAGTACTTGGTTACCTATTGTCCCATTGAGGAGTCCATATTAAACTTGAGATGTTGATCAATATTTTGTCATGAGTATCAAGTTGTCCGGCTGACCTGGCGTGTATCTTGTCGTGGCAGTTCGGATCATGTTTAGTTATTTGTAGCAATTATAGTGGTGCAAGGTTAACCAATATCGCATTGAAGACTCCATCGAATATCTAAGCCTCCAAATCAATAACCACCTACACCCTGAAAATCTTGAACATTTTGAGGCAGGAGCCGATCTCTTTTTCTCGTTGTTTTTATATCTTATATAGCTTGATACGATGTTTATTTATATTGAAAAGTTTTGGGTAAATAAGTGGTAAACTCATAGATTTGTAACAGGTTGTGCTCATAGATTTGTAACATTAGAGGCATTGCCCAAGGTAATCTTTAAAAGTTATTTTTTCTATTTTTTATGCTATTAAATTTGGTTGTTTATCTTTGGAATAGTATTAATATCCACACGCGTGGTTGTATAGTTGTGCCAAGAACATTTGTTGCATTCGGAATAGCGCTTATCAATCACGGATTGATAATGAAGGCCCATATGCATTTGGTTGTTTGTCTTGGAAAAAGGCTAAAATAGTATATCGCCCATAGGCCCAAAACTTGACGGGACCGGCCATGAAGATAGTGAAGTAAAATATATGCATTCAACTACAAGTTATTTGAGTTATTTTATATTTATAAAATATATGTGATTTAACAAAACTTGATTTTGTAAAAATGAGCTTAACGTATTCAATCTCTTGTGCAATATAAATTACTTTTGTTTTCGTTGGTTAAATTAGAATTGTTGGCTAAATATCATTGATTGTACTATTATTGTTATTGTTGATATTATTGTTATTACTATCACTACTATTTTTATTTTTAATTTTTAATAACGGTTCCTTAACGGTTCCGTGCACATATTTTTTATAGAAACCAGGAACCGAACCGTTAATAACAATTAGGAACCGAATCATTAAAAACTAATACCACATTTGTAGGAATCGAACCGAACCGGGTTATAATGATTAGGTTCCAACAGGTTCTATGGTTCCGGGTTCCAAAATCGCGCACCTAAATTATATCCAACCACTTGACACCCCTATTTTCAACAAAATCAACAATGCCTTAAAAGGCTAAAACACTGGTGTATTCCATCATCTGCCATATTTCTTCTTCAATCCACTCTACTTTCTCCTGTTTTTCGTAGTTCTGCACACCAGCTTCTTCGGCATTTTGAATATCCGGTTCATATTTGTAGTTATTATTTTTTGCTTCTGAATGCATTTACCTGTCGTTCATCCATTCACCTCTGTTCAGGTGCGATCTTGAATTATCAAGGCATGGAGAAAGCCGAAACAAATAATGTAAACAACAATGGTGAAGAAGTGGCTGAAAGCACGACAGCAGCCGACCACAGTGAAAGACCTAATAATATGACATGTAATAACAACAGTGTTATTCCTGCGCCAGTGTTGGATGAGAGCCGCAGGGGAGAATTTGGTACCGATGTAAATCAAGGCGACCAAGGAGCGCCACAGCCTTCTTGGAGAACTCCCTTCACTGACCTTTCCCAAATAGATGCCGATCTCGCCCTTGCCCGTACCTTACAGGAGCAGGTTAATGGTCCGACTAATTTTTCAGGATTTATATTGCCATGCTTTTCTATGATGATTTGTTCAAAGTAATTTATTAACCCGTGGGCGTAGCTCAATGGGTAGCGAACAAGGGTTAGGTGTCCAGGGTTCGAATCCAGAGAGGTTACCGTGCTAAAATATGCATTGGGCATATGCAATTACAGAGGACAGAGCCCACTCACTATCTGAGCTCCACTCTCTATCTGAGCTCCACTCTCTATCTGAGCCCACTCTCTATCTGTCTGACTGGTATTATAGCCCACTTTCTATGAGGTGTCATCTTTTTTGTTCAAAGTAATTTATTGGGATATTTCCACCACGGTTATTTCATCTCCCTTCCAATTGTTTTTTATGTGGCTGTAGTTAGATTGCGAACTATGAATGTATTATTTTGTGTTAAGGACAATTAACCCTTTGAGTATTAATGAGTAGAGATAAGAAGAAGAGGTTGAGAGAAAAGAAAGAGACTAAGATTGGGTTTCTTTAAAGAATAGCTGAATGTGTGATATATGTACAGCTTAAGAGTATTTGTAGAAGAAAACTTCAACAGAAATGTAGCTAACTTCAGATTTACACTTAACTGACTAACTGTTACAAGTCAGCTCAACTAACTAACTACTTCTCAACTATCAGATATAACATTCCCCCTCCTTAAAAACCAGACGCCCTCAAGTCAATTGCAAATTTAGGATTACTTGACCATGGATATCCTTCCCATTGGACTAAATACTGGATTGCTATAATATTCTGCCCCTTTGGACTAAAGTAGGCTGAATGTCTGAGCATCCTTTCCCTAGAACCATGTAGGAATATGAGCAACAACATTGTGTATCAATGTTGATTCTGGAGTTTTAACTTATAAGCTACTTTTCCCTCAGCATCTACAACCTGGAAGGATCGGTAGTATTTAAGGGATAGTTTTTCATTTTCTCGTGCAGCCATGGAACTTGTCTATAAGACTGAAGTTTAAGCCATATCCCTCCAACCTTGAACTGTTTCCTGTCTTGTCTTGTCTTGTCTCGCCTCGCCTCGCCTCCTCTGCAGTGACCTATCCACAACCGGCACATTAGTTTCAGCAGGTTGGTATGGTACCTAAACTGTTAGAGGTTGATTTTAAAACACCTCGTAGGGAGTGAGCTGTGCTGATGCATGGAAGTTAGTGTTGCACCAATATTCCACCGAAGGAAGCCTTTGACTCCTGCCCGATTGTTCACTTGTCATGCACCTAAAAAATGTTTCAAGCCATCTATTAATGACTTCCATTTGACCAGGGTGATAAGATGATGAGTTGGTACCTTGAATACATAAAAGGGCATGCCAAAAGTGACTTAGGAATATAGAATCCTTATCACTCACAATACTCCTAGACCGTTGGCCCCTGCACTGTTGTATGCCAGGTTGGTCCGGTTGCCTATGAGCTAGCCCTTCTGGCAGCTCCCAAGGTCCTCCAGTTTTCCGCATTTCCTTATTACAACCTGCCCATGTAGTAATGGACATTCCCTTACACGACCGCCAGCTGCCCAATTACTGGTGATTGGGAGCTACACTTAGTTTCTGATAAAGTCCTTTCCCATCGGTGGGTGACTCGATCTGCCATTGAACTACTATTTCACTGGAGGAGCCATTCATCGAAGAAACCACATGGAAGGACTACGATTTGCTTGCTGGTAAGTTTCCTTCTATTCCCTTTAGGATAAGGTGAACTTTCAGTGATGGATTACTAATAACAGGCCTCTAAAAACCTATTTCATGAAGAGAGGAGACCACGGGGCAAACTATATATATCCGTGCAGTTAGTGAGCATTACCCACTAACAACAAAACTGAAAAGTGAAAACTGAGTTAGTGGGCATAACCCATTTGAACCTTCATTTCCCTATTTTCTAGCTTTGTTTGTTATTCTTTTTCTTTAAATTCTATGTAATTTCGAATTTTTGAGTGGAAGTATTGAGAATTGAATTGATTCCTTTTGTTAACGACTTGTCCAATACGGGCTGTTCAATATATAAATCATTGTCCAGATTATGCAATACTCCACAAATTCAATCAAAGTTGCAGGCTTAAATGTCCCATCAAACTTTCTTTTGTAAGGTTTTAACCCTCCAATAAAAATGTCAAGGAAGTATTGATGAGGAATTGTGTTCCTTTGTATCATTAAACCTCTCAGAGTTTCAAATACATCTTTGATAGTCATCTAAAAAACCAATTAGTGTAATTTGTGAAATGTTTCCATAGTATTAGCACCAATATTTTCCTTGAAACAAGCACATGGACCCACCAAAATCTTCTCAAAGAACATTCTTTCTTGCAGAAATAAAAGCATTAATCAAAATTTTGCTCTCCCAATCATATGTATTGAAGCTAGATCTAATTTTATTATCATTCACCTTACACAAATTAAAATATTTAGCACACTTCTTCATCCAATCACAAGGATCATAACCATAAAAAACAGGAAATTCCAATTTAGTAACCCACCAAATGATATGAAATGATGACCTTGCTGGTTATCGTTCAGATTTCTAGATTTTAAGATAATTTATGTGATCCTAAGTTTAATTTGCCATTGTTTTGTTGAGAATCGGAATTGTCATGCCTGAGCTGAGGGGACTTACTTAGCAATTGCCGGATTTGAGCAAATTGAGCTTCAAAACTCTTGTTCAGCTCTATATTTTTCTCTTCCAGAGTTCTAAAGTTTTGCTTTGTTTTTAAAACTTCTCCGACAGTTTCTACTCCTCCTCCATCTTATTGGACAATTGTGCAACTGTGAGGTGCTTGGTGCCATTTAACGGTGAAAATAGTTTTTTTTCTTTCTTTCTAATCTATCTTATCTTTTTAAAAAACAACAAAATGCCAACAAGTTGGTGGAAGAAACCTCTTAGTCCCCTATTTAACAATAAGGGTGATGTACAAGAATTAACCAACTATCAAGGGATTAAACTTGAGTTAGATCATGAAATTTTGGGAGCGAGTGATTGAGCAAAGACTCTGAAGAAGTGTGGAGATTTCAGAGAATCAATTCGGATTTATGTCTGTTCACTTAACAATTGAGGTCATTCACTTTTTTGAGGTCATTCACTTTCTTGGTCATTCACCTTCTTAGGTAAGTTTTGGAGAAGTTGATAGGGGAGAATGTAGGTTTAAAGAATTAATCTTTCATATATTATTGAGCCATCCGGCAATGATATAAATACAAAATTACAGATAAGCTAAGGTTGTTACAGATCCTAAATATTAGGATCTATCTATTCTTATCTACACTGCGTGTTAATCTAAGAGTTAGAGTTCTAAATCAACCCTACTTCCTATCTATACAGTTTCGGATGTACACATAATAAAATAACATAAATATGCTACATTTTTCTACACTCCCCCTCAAGTTGGTAAGTATATATCATACATTCCCAACATGCTTATAAGAAACTCAAACACTGGTTTAAACAGCCCCTTTGTAAAGATATCAACTGTCTGCTCTTTAGTAGATATGAATGGTGTGCATACAATTCCAGCTTCAATCTTCTCTTTGATAAAATGCCTGTCCACCTCAATGTGTTTAGTACGATCATGTAGCACAGGATTGTGAGCAATATTAATGGCTGCTTTGTTGTCACAATATAATTTCATAGGTAGATCCATTTCCATATTCAACTCTGTCATCATTCTTTTGATCCAAAGTAGCTCACAGATTCCATTAGCCATAGATCTAAATTCAGATTCTGCACTACTTCTGGCAACAACATTCTGTTTCTTACTCCTCCAAGTCACTAGATTCCCCCATACATAAGTACAATATCCAGATGTAGACCTTCTATCAGTTATTGACCCAGCATAATCTGCATTTGTAAAGGCTTCTACACTTCTATTGTCACTTCTTTTAAAAAATAATCCTTTCCCTGGACAACTTTTCAAATATCTTAGGATCCTGTAGGTAGCATCTAGATGTTCTTGGAATGGATTATGCATGAACTGACTAACCATACTGACTGCAAAGGCAATATCTGGCCTTGTATGTGCCAGATAAATCAACCTTCCCACCAATCTTTGATATTGGTGAATATTAACTGGTACTCCTTCCTTGACATTTCCTAACTTCTGATTAGGGTCAATTGGAGTATCTATTGGTCTGCATGCACTCATACCTGTTTCATGAAGTAGGTCTAGTACATACTTCCTTTGGGATACCACAATTCCCTTCTTTGATCTTGCTATCTCCATGCCAAGAAAATACTTCAATTCTCCCAGGTCTTTGATTTCAAATTCCTGAGCAAGCTTCTTCTTCAGATCTTCAATCTCTTCACAATAGTTTCCTGTAAGAATTATATCATCCACATAAACAATTAGTACTGCAATTTCTCCCTTAATGGAGAATTTCATGAATAGTGTATGATCTGCTTGGGCTTGTTTGAATCCCTGCTTCTTTATGAACTGAGTAAACCTTTCAAACCAAGCCCTTGGGGACTGTTTAAGCCCATATAAGGCTTTCTCTAGCTTGCACACCTTTGAGCCATATTGTTCCTCAAACCCAGGAGGAGGGCTCATGTATACTTCCTCTTCAAGTTTCCCATTTAGGAAAGCATTCTTCACATCTAACTGTTGAAGAGGCCAATCTAGGTTAGAAGCTAGAGATAGTAGAATCCTTATAGTATTTAATTTTGCAACTGGTGCAAAAGTTTCTGTATAATCTATGCCATAGGTTTGTGTGTATCCTTTGGCAACCAGTCTGGCCTTATATCTTTCAAGTGTACCATCTGCCTTGAATTTAGGAGTAAACACCCATTTGCATCCAACCCTTGGTTTATTTTTGGGTACCTCTACAGTCTGCCATGTCTGATTCTTTTCAAGGGCATTCATTTCTTCTAAAACAGCCTTCTTCCACTCAGGTATAGATAGGGCTTCCTGTATGGTTAAGGGAATAGAGACACTGGAAAGGCTAGAAGTAAAAGCTGCAAATGATGTAGATAACTGAGAATAGGACAGATAGTT